ATCATAATTCTGGATTTAAAAAGCAGAAATTATGTATTTTATGTTTTAAAATTTGGTAACTCTTAAGACTGAACTATTAAAATATAGATAATTCCTTATATGCATTTCTTTTATAATGTTGCATAAGAATTTCAAATTATAAAGACAATGAAGACCACCAAGGGATGACATGTAAAACTTTATTTTGTTGGAAAAGTGTTTTCTATATTAGAATTGTCGTGACCTAATGGTGAACTAGTGAACTTTTAAGGAAAGCAATTAAGTTTTTCCAACTCTTTGTGTCTGAACAAAAAGTATTAATCACATTGATGTAAATAGCTACTCTGATACTGCTAACAACGTAGTTAAAACAATTTGGTTGATTACTTATGGTTATTTTGGTTATAAAATTGGTTACTTAATTCAATTAATATATAAATATTTCTAAAACTAGTGACTCATATAATAAGCACCCTTTCTGTACAAATTTTTAAAAGATTATATTTGCTATGGAAAAATAGTATAAGACATATTGCCAACTTCAAGCATTATAAATGTGTTTAGGGAGACAAAGCATATATTCTTGAAAGTCAAATAATATCATATTCCAGTATATAACAAATAGTGCAACATAATCTAGGTTTACACATAAGTGAGGAATAGAGACTTCCAATATAACGGGTCAAACCTGCTTCCATAAGTATTCCTATACTCAGAGGGCTTTCTGAGAAATTTGTTTCAGAAAACATAATGCAAGTAGATGGGGCCGATATTATAAGAATAATATAAATTCACTAAAATTTATTAAATAAAAGATATTATGTCTATTGTTAATACATTATTCCTGTAACATATTTCAAATTAATAATGTGCTATTGGTTCTTTTCAATGTCATGGTTATAATAGTTACTATAGATTTATACTGTTCCATAAGGTAGCCGTGGAACACGTGGCCAGTGAACATTTGAAATGTGGCGACTTCAAATTAAGATGAGCTATAAGTGTAAAATACATATTGATTTTGAAGACTTATTATGAAAAAATTAATGTAAAATATCTCATTAGTAATTTTATATTGATTATAGGTTTTTATATGATAATATTTTGGACATATTGGTGAAATAAAATATATTAAAATTAAATGTTACCTGTTTTTTATTTTTTTAATATGACTATTAGAACATTTTAAATTACATATATGAATTGTATCATATTTCTATTGATCTGCACTACTATAAACATTTTATTTCAATTTAGAAGAGAGAATTTACTGTAAGATGATTAAATTTTAGGAAAGTATCCATGTGAAAAGGGTCTCATTTCTATAATATAACTTAATGCTTGTACATCATCATCTGGTCTCTGCTTGTGTTCTCCCATAAGCAACAGGAAACTCACTAATTTAAAATTAGTGCTTTAAAAAAAATTGTGACCCTAATCAGTTGTTTTTATATTATCCTAAAAATTCAGGCTCCATATAATTTCAGCCCATTCATTCTACTTATTCATTTTGTAACCACACAGAATAATTCAAATCCAAATCTACATAATGGCCTGTTTACAGAGTAGTTTTTGATTGGGAAATCTAGACCTTATACATCCTACTAATAAAGTCTAAGTTTTCATTATCTTGCCTGAATAAATAGTTATTTATTTTGTAGTAGTATCTCCTAAAGTCTTTTTGCATCTGCTTATTTACTTATTTGTTTATTTTAGTACCTGGTGGTATCATGTTGTTGCTAACATTTGTGCAGCAGTTAATATATTTCTACGTGTGAAGTGATGACTGGTCAGTTTTTTAAAAATTTTCTACTTAGAAACTCCAAGTCATTAAAGGACATCTTGAAATGTTTATTCTGCTGTCCCATTATTAGTCATTCATTCACTTATTTTCTTCAAAAAATATTTATGAGTACCTACTATGTACCAGAAATGACTTTAGGTTAAACAAGAAACTCCTCATCTTCATGGGGTGTTCATGGAACTCATCTCACTGACTTTGTATTATTTGCATGCATTGTTGTGTCTCCAAATAATTCCAGATAAAAATACTGCACAGGGCAAAACAAATTCAAAGCCGTTTGGCATCCTCCTTGAGACCACTTTCTACATTATTTCAGGTTATTTAATCAATAGTTTTGTTGTTCAGAGTGATACAACTTTACCAAACTGCATTCTAAATTTCTCCATGTTCACCATTAAAATTTTATGATTTTGTCAAATCCCTTGGTAAAATAAAAAATCACCATGCCAACAAGCATTTATCTTATTCTTCAAAAATCAATATCTTCGAAAGAGAAAAGTCTTGAACAGAGCCAGTGGCTGGGTATGATTTTAAGAGAAAACAATAAGAGCCAAGATGTATTAAGCATTTATTTATGTTAGATGGATACATAGGATTTTGAGAGAAAATAATAATAACCAACATTTACTGAGCGTTTATTACATACCAGACACTATTCTAACATATTTGGCCCTCATAACAGCCCTATAAGGTAGATATTCTTACCCTTGTGTTATAAATAAAGAAACTGAGGCTCAAAATTTGTATATAACTTGTTCAGGGTCTTTTGGGTAGAAAATGGTGAAGTCTGAATTCAACCCATGCATTCTTATTTAGGAGCTTATGCTCTTAACCAGAAGATGAAAAGCATTCTAAGGACCTTGAGGGAGGTATAGCCAAAGAAGATCACCAAATGCCTGGCAAGAAAGGTCAATATTAGTAGCAATATAAGGCTGGAAAGGTCCTTGGGGCAAAATTAGGGGAAGTCTTGACCATCATGCTGGTGTTTGGATTTTATTCTCTTTGTACTCAGTAGATGCATAAGATTCTTGAGCAGAGAAATAGCATAATGAAAGTAATGTTTTTGGAACATATTGACCTGATCACTGTGCACAGGCTGATACTGGTTTAGCAAGAAAAATATTGTACAACTGTAATGAGAATGAATTTACACTTATTTGATATTTAGTAGACATTAGTGTGAGATGTTCAACAATAACATAATTTAAGGTTTAAGCCTAGATGGCTGTGAAAATGGTCTTTTATAACAGAACTAGGGAAGTTGGTATTTCAAGTGGTTTGCAGGAAGTTCATGAACTCAGTCCTGGACATGTTGAACTTCAAGTTAGATGCTTGTTGGCCAATTGAGAGTTTAGTTTGGAATTCAAAAATGAGGTCGCAGCTAAAGATAAAGAAAGATTTGGGCGATATGAAAAACATGGCTAAATTCATGGAAGAAAATACAACTCGTTATGAAAGAAGCCTTGGGAAAGAGGTGGAGATTACCAAGTTTAGAGCCTTTGAAACTACTCTGGGTACGTGGAGAGATGAGCTAGAGAAGAAGCAGGGGAATAGGGCAGAGAAATCTGACTGCAAGTAGATCCATGTTATTCTGCTATCCAACTACATGACAAAAGTTATTTCAAATATTGTTCATCCCTGTACATTCACAAAATTGTGTAAAACAGCCCAGTTGCTCTTATTAAATATTAGTAAATATGAACAAAATTTAATAACATAAAATACCACCAAATTGGTACTATGTATATGATTGTAGAGAGTGTTAATCTTTTTACTTTTGCAATCCCTTGAACAATATACGATTTTAAAGTATAGAAGTCTTCTAATAATACAGAGATTGAAGCATCCTTTAAACATATTTGTAGTACTACCAATCTGTACTGGTTCAAGAAACTATTATGACACTTCAAATTGCAAATTATCATTAAGATTTTAAAAACTAGTGATGTAATAAGTTACTTAAAAAATGTTCCATAAATCCTCTCTGAAATGTGTAGAAATGCCTAGAAGATATGCATTTATTTATGTTGCACATGAGAATCATATCCTCATGAATAGCATTTGCTTATTTACTTCTTTATTAGTAATAGACTACATTTAGATATTTGGTTTTTCCTTGAATACTTGTCCTCTAAGAGCTGTCATCTAATAAAAGTAGAAAAATTTATGACTGGAAATGTGATTGGGGAAGAGTAGGTGGGAATCAAACTTGATGAATAAGATCATTCTGGCATAAGACATTGCGAGTCATTTCTGAATTGGTTTACAAAGTGAAAACTTTAGCCCAGAAAGGAAGGCAGATTTCTGTGTTATCGATGGATTTTCAAAAGCTATCAATTATAAAATATATTCCAGTGTTTTAATGAAAAGAAATTAAATGCAGCATAAAGATCAAGAGAGTAAAATGTATTTTATTAACAGAATTTTAATCTAATAATTAAATCTTGCCTACTTGTTTGAGTACATATTTGATTTTCAATGCCTTTTCATTCATGTCTCCTTTTTATGTGTTTTGTTTAGAAAACCAAGGTATTTTAAAGTTTTTTTGAGACTGTGGTCATTATCAATTTAAAAATTAAGGAAACTGTGATGTTTGCAAGATTAAAAATCATATATTCAGATTCTTTATGTGAAATATTCAGGGTTCATTCATTTGAATTTATTAATGCCACCAAAGAAACCACTGTTAAGTCAAGCAAATTGCACTGTTTGTCTTACGACAGCCTGCCTGTCAGTTATGCCATACTAAAAATACCATTTAAAGAATCTGAGCAGATTGCCATGTAGTTTTTTCTAAGGATAAGGTGACAATTCTGCATTTTTACCTGAGGTTACTATTATTTGATGAATGAGGCAATTTCTGATGACATATTTACCCAAATGTTTTTTATAGCAGAATATTTAAAATAAGATCAAATACGACTTTAGGATATTAAAAATTAGCCCAGTCAAATATATGTAAATCGACTTTTGTTGATACGACAGAATGATGACTTGCATTACCTTGCATGTATGTTCAGCTCTGGTGATGTTACATGTTTGTCCTTATTTGAATCCTCAGGTACGGTTGTATTTCAAAACCTTCATAAAATATAATATGAAAATATTATGCATGTCATTAGTTTAGCAACAGGAGGTTTAGCAAATGTATTTCTTTTGGTTTGTTTCTAATAAAAAGTAATTTTGATTTAAATTAGCACTATCTTTTTTTTTTTAGGCCTCCATTCCTTTGAAGGAATTGGAGCAGTTTAACTCCGATGTACAAAAATTGCTTGAACCACTGGAGGCTGAAATTCAGCAGGGGGTGAATCTGAAAGAGGAAGACTTCAATAAAGATATGGTAAATTGGTTGTGATAAAAGTGTGAATGAACTCGGAATGAAAATGAATAAATATTTGCAAAGAAATTAGATAACTCAGGTCTCTAACTGAGTTCTAAGACCACACCTTGCACATTTTGTGATTCTAATGATTTTTATAAATGGAAAGTATTCTTGTCAACCTTTTACTTTGAATGCCAAATTATTATGATATGGTGATTCAGGAGCATATATTGATTCTAATAAATAGTTCAGAAATTTTGTTTTTACCTGTGCTATCTTCAAACTCAGAGGACAAAATGTAATCAGGAAAAAAAATGAGAGTCAAATCAGAAAACAAACTAGAAATTTAATAAGAAACTCACTACCATAGATGGCTGACCTTTTTTGTCAGTCATGTTTTTGGGAGTATAACCCTATTTCACAGAAGGGGCAGTTACACACAGTATAGACTTTGTTTATTTAAGTTTCCTATGAAGTTATTTTACCAGAAAGTTGAGGAAATGGTGCAGTATATGTCTAAAATGTGTATAAATTTATGCTGCTTATTTCATGGGAATAAAGAAATATGACTATGTGGCCTATTACCAACCTCAGAACATTCTTCTCCATCCTGATTAATTTCAAAGTGTCTTTTACATTTCTCTCTGGCTTGAATATTTCTGCATCACATCCCGATTCACTGACTTTTTTTTTTTCGCCCTTCACCCTCCTTTTCACAATTTCTTTTCCCCTCTTCCACTGCCGTCACTCCTGTGGCATTCTTAAACTTTACATGTATCAATGCTAGAGGCTTCTCAGACAATGCTTGAAAACGACATCAGAAGGCAATCTATCAATGTTAGATAATAGGCATGTGAAGCAATAGTAGAACTATCCCACCAGTCTTAGCTCCCATTGATATCAATTCTGACTTCCTGGAGCTGCCTCAATCAGTAGTCCCCATGTATGGGGTTTGGTGGCCTTGCCAACTCAGCTCGTGGAAAGGCAGACCAGAAGAGCCTTTCCAAGATGCTGACTTACAACTACCTCTATTTCATGTCAAAGAAGGAACAGAGGGCCCCAAGGTGGAAAGGGGTGCTGCTTACCTCTTGGGCTGACTACTGCCCCTGCCCTAGAGCCCTCACCTGATGTGCGGAAAGAAGTGAAATGGGTTTTATTTGTTTTAGTTTTTGTCTTCAGGCCTAGAAAATGCTGCAGAACTTTAAAAGGCATGTTAAACTCAGTAAGGTCTTTCACACAGAATAAATATATGTCTATAGTATGCTCTACACTTAATTAGACTATTAACCAACAAATCGCAGATAAAAATAATCCTATTCCCTCAAAACAAAATAAATCGGTCTTCAGTTGTGTGTTGAAGTTTAAGCATGCATTATAGATTTAAATATATAACATGTAATGCCATGAATAGGGCCATCCCACCTTGAGTGCACCCGATCCCATTTAACACCATGAGTAGTAATACACACTGTTTGTTATTCTTAGCTCATTGGCAAACCTTTGGTACCACTGCAAGGTGAGCCTCCTTCGTAGAAATTTTTATGTCCTGAATTGAAAGAAAAGAAGTTGCAGGTGAAAAATCACATGATCACATATGCAACTATATTAGACCAGCACTTATTCAAGTCATTTTTAAAATTATTCCTATTATTATTATTATTTATTTATTTTTTTTTTTTTGTGGAACCGAACCCATGACCTTGGTGTCATAAGTTTGCACTCTAACCAACTGAGCAACCAGCCAGCCCCAAGTCATTTTATTAAGTAAACAAAATTACAGTGTTGTTTTTGTAGTCTAAAAGAACAAAATGCACACTGAAAACTTTTAAGGCTATTTGTTCAATCCATATGTGAATACTTCTGTGATCTTATTTATTTAAACTTAACATGCCTATATGATATATTTTTAGAAATTAATAATTTGCAATATTTGACAGAAATTTAACACATTATTTTTGATGAATACCTCAATAGTTGTCCTAAATTTGCGCATTTAATTTTCAAATATAAAGCAGAGATTATCGGATAGAAATTAGTGTGCATTTAAAACAAAATATTTTCATTTAGTAGTGTGTTAATATTTTAAGATTTGTTGCTATATCACACATATAAATATACATCCATTTTCCTATATAGATCAGTTAATACTATAAATAGCAAGGTTAGTTTAATTCTCCAAACTTTTTAACTTTTAGAACTAATCTAAAAATCAAACAAAAGATACTTTCACAGCAATTCACTACTTGTCTGAAGTGATGAAGTACCTTACTCCTCCATCTTCCGACATATGCCTCTAAAATATGTGTTCTTTAGAACTAGAGGGGAGGACACTCATTTCTTTTCAAAATATAAAAGAAAAGCTATGAGAACAGTATCTTATGATATCATTCTCTGAAAGTTTTAAATTGGATTTTTTGTGTGTGTATAAATAACATGTTTTATTATCTGTTAACAATGTACAGCTTTCTTAAAACCAAAATGAAGACTGTACTTGTTGTTTTTAATCAGAGTGAAGACAATGAGGGTACTGTAAAAGAATTGTTGCAAAGAGGAGACAACTTACAACAAAGAATCACAGATGAGAGAAAGCGAGAGGAAATAAAGATAAAACAGCAGCTGTTACAGACAAAACATAATGCTCTCAAGGTATTAGAGCTAAAATTATAATGTACCTTGCCTGTGGGTTTTTTTTATATGTAGGGTAAAATATATTGTGCATAAATAAAATCTACTTAGGAATCTTAGACACCAGAAATTCAATTTTTTTCTGTTCATTGAGTGTGCTTTATTTAACACTTTCAAGTGGTGTCTGGTTTTGAAAGATGTGGTGCTTAAAAATTATGGGTTTTTGTTCAGGCAAATTTTTTGAGTAGTAATTGAAGGATATCAAAATTCATCATTCATAGTATTTATGCATTTAATTTTCTAATATACTTTATTTTTATAAGCTACTTTTGTATTTCTGTTGTAAAACTTGCTTAACTGCCAGAATAACTAATCTATATTTTAAAAATTATTCCTGCTTCCTTTACTGTATTGATTTCATTTATAATAGTTCCAATTTTTTGGTAACCTAATTATGTGTTTAATATGGCCTAGATTCCACTTTAAAAAAAAACAAAACTTGATCTTACCTTTAAGAGAGTCATTCTTTGCAGCTAAGCATCTACAAAAATAATCTTAATTCTCTTGAAGAACTGCTATTTAATATTAAGCAGCTGTAGCATATGGCTTCAAGTACCTATGTGACTCATTCAGATATTGCAGGAAAAACAGAATGAACTGTTGATTTTTCCATAATAATATCTAGGAAGTTCTTGAGATGACACTGGACATGTGAAAAGTTTTGTGAAATACTTCTTTTGTATATGCTTTGCAATATTCACTATTTGCATGCATGGCTGATTGTCTAATACTGTTAATTGCCAAGCTTTTCATTGTAAATCACTCTTTTAGAGCTATGTAGCTATGTGGGAGGATCAACCTAGTAGGTGGATGGAGTCTGCTTTCTGTATGCGGTTAAGAGGATAAAACCTTTTCCCCTATAGTCAACCAAATAAACACTGCTGAGAATCTAATTACACAATATTGTGCCTGCAAGGAACCCACAAGGAAAGTCTAATTGGCCAGCAGGTGTTCTGAAGGTAACTGCTGATAGATATAGTAACTAGAAAAGGCCTCTTTCTCAAGGGAGTGCAAAAGCAAACCATAATATGCTCAGAAAATCAGAAAGCTGTGTAATTCACACCTTCCAACTGTGACCAAGCTTTCAGAAGCTTCTACACTGATTATATGATGATATGTTTCCTACTGAACAGCAGTGTTTAATGGTTACCTGGCATACAACTGAAGAAATCTATATGATGTCTCTAAATATCTTTTACCTATTACACATCACCTTGTTCTTAGGAAATAAAAGGAGTTTCAGATTTAGGATCACCGAGCCCTTTCTTTTGGCAAAAATGTGAGTTATTTCGCAAATAAGGAAGGCATGGCTCAACTTTCACTCACGTGGCTGTATCCTGATACCTCTGAAAAAAGCAGCGTTACATCTGACTCATCCCATGCATTTATTACCTCCACAGGAGGTTTAGAAAGTCAACATAAAATGTAAACTGCAGTAAATCTTATATCCCCAGTTTTTAAAAAATTAGGAAATGAAATCTAGATCATTATTGCAAATACATGCTACAAGTGATTAAGGAAAATTGTCAACTGTAGTTGCCAAACAAATCTACACCACCAAATTCAGTAGCTATGTTAACCTTCCAAGTGGATTCAATTCTAGATCTTATGAAATATTTCAAAGAAGATGAAAACGTTCTGATGCAAATAAGAATTTTTCAGCAGCTCTTTGGTATTAATAATTTTTTTTTGGCTCAAGTTAAATCTGTACGTAAAACCCTAATTGCTACCTCTCTGAAGAAATGAAAGCTGTATGCAGAGCTCTTATGTTCTCATGAGTTATCATAGAATGACAATTTGACTAATTCTATTGATCAGGGGAAACATTGTGTGTGCTTGTAAGAATCAAGATGATTGATTTTCTTCCTTCGTTGATTTATTAAATCAGTCACCCTTATTTATCTCATCAGGTTGACTGGAAAACATGCACTTTCTCTTTTTTTCTAAATAGTTCATTGCTTTGCATTTGGAACATGATTTAGTATAATAAGAAAAAGTTAGCCATGCAAGCCTTGAAAGAAAAAGCATTTTTCTAACATTTAAATTGTTATTTCATGTACATTCATAGCCATACAAACAAGTCACATTTCTACACATATAGCTTGGAATAATTTATAAGATAACTAAAATGACTTTTTATTGCTAATCACGAATATTAATGGCCTAGGAAACTTTTTTCCAGGCTTATCTAAAACCACGAAAGTATGTTGCTCAGCTATATACACCTAAAATTTTGTTGATGAACCCAGGGTTAAAGATAGAAGTTTTACATTTTTACCCATTTTACAAGTCAAATACAAACTCGCTAAGTTTGTGCAACTGTCTAGTTAACTGCATTCATATATTAAACTGTTTGACGTAGACTACACAACTTCCCCAGCTCATTAAGAGTCAATTAAATATGACAAAATTTCTAAACAAGTTTGAACATGCCAAGAGAAAATACATTGTGTTGTTCAGGATTTTTAGCTTATTGTACATAAGTCCTGCCACATAAATACCTAATTTAATCATTTATTCATATGTTTTACTTTGAAATGTGAATTTAACCTATTTGTACCAAAGAAAGGCTCAAATTATTTTTATAAATAGCTACAACCAGAATATATCAGAATATATATTGATATTTTAATAATATCTGCACCATGAACAGGATTTGAGGTCTCAAAGAAGAAAAAAGGCTCTAGAAATTTCTCATCAGTGGTATCAGTACAAGAGGCAGGCTGATGATCTTCTGAAATGCTTGGATGACATTGAAAAAAAATTAGCCAGCCTACCTGAACCCAGAGATGAAAGGAAAATAAAGGTAATGTTGTTTTAGAATGTCAATATTAGATTTTATTGCTACAGTTCAATAACTTTAACTTAACCTGTGAGGATCATATTTAAGATGTTGATGTTCTTGTTTCCTCTATTAGTGTTCTCCTTGATTTGATGTATTTCCTTGTATTATGTGTTGTTTTAGTAAATGTATTGTGTTATTCAACTGCCTTAATGTTGAATGAATAAAATGTTTTACTTTTAGACAATATAAAATGAATTAAGAAATGTCATGTGTTTTTTGGTAAAATTGTAATTGACTTTGTGTATCTTTGTTCCAGATGAACTAATGACTTATCGATATATGGACGACTTCTTTCTCATGTTAGCACATTCATTTCATCAGACCATCTTCACACATCAGTGTCAAATCTCTGTATATTTATTTTCATATTGTCTGAAGAAGTTTTTTTTTTTCTGTTATTATTTTACACTTTTTACTTTGCTTTATTCTCTGTTGAGTTTCTCAAAACCTTTAAAGGGAAATAAACAACGTGTTCACTTACCCTCTAAATTATATTCTATATGGATGGTCCCTAATAAATAATGAATAATCACACCAATTTGGATCAAACCCCTAAACACCAGAGGAGTTCAGAATAAAGAAAATGTTAGATCAATTTCAGTATTATCTTAATTAGAATATCTAAAACTGAGCACTCAAAGGATAGCTGAAATAATATTTGGATTATTTGGTCAGGATGACAGTGACGCTTTCCAGATTTGTAATTTTGAAACATGACAATAAAGAGACAACAGCCTATACAATTTCTGAGAGTATTTGCTGCTTGATGTGGTTAGCTAACTGCCCTGGGCCCTGTATTGGTTTTGCTCAATAGGAAATTGACCGTGAATTGCAGAAGAAGAAAGAGGAGCTGAATGCAGTGCGTAGGCAAGCTGAGGGCTTGTCTGAGGATGGGGCCGCAATGGCAGTGGAGCCAACTCAGATCCAGCTCAGCAAGCGCTGGCGGGAAATTGAGAGCAAATTTGCTCAGTTTCGAAGACTCAACTTTGCACAAATTGTGAGTTGTTACTGGCAAACCCACGTATGTGTTTGCAACTACTACTCTATTAACAGAGGCCTACTAACAGGAAAAAATCTGGGTACAATTTCAGACTTCTGATGTGCATTCCGAAAGTGAGTAGTTTTTCTCACTTTGGGCTTCTGTAACACAAGTGCTTAATTTTGCAGATTAAAGACAAAGTAAATTAACAGCTTATAGGAAAAGCCCCCTTATCAAAAATAACAAATACATCTTAATTTTTTTTTGCTACTTCATTTTTTCGTAACATTGGCAATGTGAATTTGTCAATTTATCATACATTTACTTTACTTTGGTGTCTAATCCAAAAATATGTATTGCTTTCCTGAGATCATCCCATGCTAATTTTACTTTCTTAATGTACATATGGCAAATAATAAATATTTTGTGAAACATCTTCTATTAGCAACTTTCATAAGGCCTTATCTCATTGACTTAAAGAATATAAGCTTTTAGTACTCATACCTGGCTCAAAGGATTACAATGATTTGTAGAAGAACTGGAAGCCTAGTAGGATGGTTGGTAATTGATGGCAGATTGAGCAATATCAAACAATGTCATTACTGAAATGTTACAAGTCAGAAAGAACAGGAATGACTGATCTTCATTCAAACAAATGAGCGAAAAGTTTGTGACTCTCTTTTTAAAAAGGCAATTCAAAATCGTGGGCATGGTCTTCTTAGCTCTTTATTTGTAATAGGTTATAAACTGTAGAGATTTTCCAACAGATACATTTTTTGTTCCTATTGCAAGTTATTGTAAAGTGAAGAGGAAGGTCACTGTCTGTAATTATCCAAGATAGTACTCCTCACAAAACCAGGATGTTAAAGTCTGGAAAATAGGCTTTATAGTTATGTTAGGTTGAATCATATGAAACAAATAGCCAACCATTTTGCCCTACGTGGTTCAGCCCATAGATGAGATTTCTTAAGAATTTCTTCTTCGATATTGTTTATTCTATTTAATATGGCTTTTATTCTTAAATATGTCTAAGACAATTAACAGCTTTATTTTATAAACATAGAAGGAAAATATGCTGTATATTTTTGTAACTTCTTTTTCCATTTTAAGAAAATTCATGAATACACAGTTTTCTGTGAGATCTAATACCTTAAAGTTTAACAGCAGCTTAATATTCTGAGCTATTGGAAAAAGTAATATAAGAAATATTGAAAGTATTATATTCGAAGTCTAATTCCAGCTGATTGAACATTGTGGCCTATTATCCTTCCATATTAGATGTTATGTACATAATATGTCATAAATCACTCAAGCTTATACTAACAGAAAGCCTGTGTCTGCAAATGCAAAATGAAGTGAAAGATTAAGGCAACCATAAAGAAAATTCCAGTAAAATAGTTTGTCTCAAAGTTTTAATAGGTCATTCAGGGGGAAGTATTTTGCTTTGAATTACCTGGCTACTAACTCATTTTTTCATTCTAGTTTTCCCCATGCCTTGACATACCCAATATGCAGGATTAAAATTTGTTACAACCTAGTCAAGATAAATTTCTAAGGTTTTATAGTTAAATAGACACACTGTCAAAAATCCCCATAAACCACCCATTTAAAATGCCATTATGTTCCTACACAGTAGGTTCTTAACAAATACAGTACAGTATAATAATGATTGGTAAACTAAAGAAAGTATATGTGAACCAGCATAAAATTTTTAAAAATAAATTATACTAAAGTACTAAAATATATTTTCCTCATAAACCATTTATCCTTGATTTTTATATATGAAAGATGCAAAATTCAGAAGTGAAGGGTGGAGGGGGACTATTTTTATGTTAATTCTTTTTATTTATTTATTTTTTTTGGAATCACAATTTGTTTGAAGAATAATAAATTTATAGAGATATCCAGGAGGATGTATCTTTATACTCCACAGATTACTAATGTATTTTAACAACTGATTTCACCATGGCCACTGACTGGAGTCATCTTTCCCAATTCTTCCACAATGCAGTCATTTGAGATAGCCACACATGAACAGCTTACTGAAAAGTTACATTTGTACTAATCCTACAGGATGCAGCACAGTTTGTCAAAGCTTCAAAATTCCTTACCTTTTCCCTGCATTCTCCTTCTCTATTTCTCTCATCTTTACTTCTCCTAATGGCCCCTTTTTTTTGTTCTCTAAAGATATAAACTCTGGATCCGCAGTCTTTCATGTCTGCTTTTATACTCCACCAGTGAACTAACAGAAAAAGAAATCATTTCCTAATAGTAGCAATTCAAAATAGTAGTCCGTACCTTAAAGTGCTTAGCATTCGAAAGCTAAGTTTGAAAGGAGAAATTAAATTTCCTTACTTCAGTTGCAAAGACTCAGAAATGGGCTATGCAGTGTAAGATTAATGTACTTAGGGGACTATGTCCATGTGAGAGCAGTCCTAAGGCTCAGAAGTCTGGGACTTTTTCTGAGGGAAGGAACCATGAGGCAGCTCTCAGCCAGACAGGAGTGCAGACCAAAGCAGATCAGAGGGTGTCTGCAAATAATGGTCCTCAGGACTAACCTGGAGACAATAAAGAAGGGACAACAGACTGGGAGAAAGCAGGTAAAATTTTCTTCATATATTCACAGTGAGAAACCACTTGCCCTAGTTAGGAATACAAAACATTTCTTTTTTTTTTTTTTTGTCTTTTTTGTCTTTTTTCCGTGTCCGGCAACGGATCGCAACTTTTCTTTTTTTCTTTTTGTCTTTTTTCATGACCAGTAACGGGATCGCAACCCTTGGTGTCGCGCCCGCACCACGCTCAACCAGTGAGCGGACCGGTCTCTATATGGGATCTGAACCCTCGGCGGGAGCGCCGCCGCACTCCCAAGCACCCGCACTCTACCGAGTGCGCCACCGGGCCAGCCCTAGAGTTATTTTTTTGAAGCAAAATGCAGAATTTGTCTTTTATCTGGCTATAATGTAAGTTTAAGCTCATTTTTCTTTTTTTTTTTTTTTTTTTTTTTTTTTTTTTTTTTTTTTCCGTGTCCGGCAACGGATCGCAACCCTCAGTGTTGCCCCCGTACCGGACCGGGGACCGGCAACGGGATTGCAAACCTCGGCGTCGTTCCCGTGCCTCGCTCAGCCAGTGAGCGGGAACCGGTCTGTACGTGGGAACCGAACCCTCGGGCGGGAGCGCCGCCGCACTTCCCAAGCGGCGCACTATCCAGTGCGCCACCGGGCCGGCCCTAAGCTCATTTTTCAATCTTGAGACTTAAAAAAAAAAAAAAATCCTGATCTGATTACTCTTCGTGTGAAGGAAGATAACTAACTTTACTGGTTCACTTTATGTAACTTAAATTCCATTTCTAATATATTGCCTGTTGGATACTCAGTGAAGACAAAGCAGTGGCTGTAAACTGAACCCAAGGAATTTTTCTACAGGATGTATTATAGCAGCAGTGTGGTCTAGTACAAAAGAATACTCCCTGGGATGAACAGTCCTGAATATGAATCTCAGTGATGTTATCTGCTAGCTGTATGCTCATGGGTAAATTGCTCTCAGCCTCATTTTCCCCATCTGTACAGTGGGGATAAGGATGTTTGTGAGGATGAAATAAGGTAATACTGTATTTGTAAAACACCTGTTGCATTATGTGTGTTCAATGAATCAAAGTTTTCTTCTTTTTCTGTACAAGTTAACACTGGAAAAGAGACACATTATTTTAAAAGTTATAATATCTTTATAAGCCTTTAAGAGAATTAGGTTCAATATGTACCATTTGTTTAAAATTTTATTAAAAGATATCAGATATATTTAGATCAATGCAAATTACAAATTATATTTCATAATCAATGGGAAGGTAGTTCTGTCTGAAGTCACACAGTATTTACAGGTATTTTCATGTAAAGTTGATGACTCTATTAATGAAAAGAATGATTCTCCATAAACTTGCCTATAGAACTCTATCAGAATACTTTTACATGAAGGTAAAGAATGAACTAAGAAAAAAAAAGGCTCTGAAAACTTCATAGTAGAGAATTATGCATAGTTTTTATTAAGCTTCGTTGTAGCATTTGGCAGTTAACCTCAGAGAGCCATAGCAAGTGGAACTAGAAAATTGCACACTGAGGATACCAATGCAATTGAAGGCTCATGTGTAACTCCTCAGAGAAATAGACTCACAGACTAAAATTACAATGGATATGAAAAAAAAAAAACTTTTTTCATAAGCAATGTTAGCAGATGCTAAGCAGTGAAAGGGGAACGTACAGCTGAGGAATTGGAGATAAGAGGACAATCAGAAAAATATATTAAAATAAGCATTTAAAAATTAAAAATGGAATGGAATTTTAACAATAACAACAGGCCATTTTGAAAAGTGAACAGGATGATTTGAAAAAACAGAAAGTCTAGAAACAAAATTATAATTATTGAATTAATAACTCAAACAACTTTGTTAAATAGTGGATTCATTATAGAAGTAAAATACATATTAATTCAAAGATGCCAAGGAAAATTTTGTTTTGCTGGAAGTACTAGAGGATGTGAAAAATAGAATAAAAATCACAAACATATGCATCAACAGAGTTCCAGATTGAGAAAATGGAGAGCACGGGGAAAAGACAATATTTTACATAAGTCAATGACAGTAAATAAAACTGAATAAATTTTAATTTGCATGAGTCCTCAGAGTGCATACAGCTCGACCAGTGTCAAAAAAATAAAAAGTCCAAGATGTGATGGCCAGACCTGTACTGGTAGCATGCCCATTACCATCACATATTGGGCACGAGTGGTGACAATTAGCTTTGTACCCCATGAATATTCATAACCTATATAAAAAATTCCACACCTAGCTAGCGCTGAATGAAACTCAGAACATCAACCACCAAGAAGGTATCATAAAAGCTACTGAAGACAAAAGACAGAATACTTACAGGATGATAATATTGACAGTAAATTTTTCATCAACAGTAAATGTTAGAAGTTTATGGAATAATATCTTCAAAATGTGAGGCAAATTTTCAAATATCAGT